GCGAGGTGATGATGATGACGGCAAACGACGGCGACAATGATGTTCATTTTTTTACCATATGATTTGGACAACATCGAGCAAGATTTTCCTGAATATTGCCTACATTAAAATAGTCATTGCTTCTACTATTAATTAGGCCTTCACACATGAATGTTATGCCACAAACATGTTGCTATCCAGGGGATATACTTTTTCCCTTCATCATCTAATACTATTTGTTGGCCACAATAATCTCTGCTGTCGCTGCAGGTCGCCTCAGCCTACCTCCGTATCTATCTAGTTTAGCTCTGCCTTTCTTTTGCTGCTTTATTAACTTTTGGTTTATTTTCTTTCTGCTTTTACTTGTGTGATTTTGGCGCTTTTTTGGGGAGGTTCGTCGGAAATTTGCGCCACTTTTGTTATATCGATTACTTACGACGTGTGAATTTTGGTTGTTTTTATAATGCATTTGAATGGCGGGGCATATGCTTGTATATGTATATGATTTTGTTGATTATCATGGAATAGATGACAGAAAAGCATTTATGACGCGCGCATTTATACCTAGTCACGTAACATATGGTGTCTAATTTCACAAAGATTTATTTAAAATTCGACAGCAAAGAAAAAATAATGCATTTAAATCAAATTGGCATAGGTGCAGGAGTGGCTTGAGTATATAAAATAAAAAAATTCTAAATTCATTATATGTTCCTTATTAGCCTAACGATCCTTCCCAGCACATACCAATTTATGTAAATATGCCTCTGTGTTCAGTAAAACCTTTCTGCAATGCCAATCTTAATACATTAACATATTTGTGGTATCCATCGCACATTTTTTAATTCTAGAATGATATTGACAGGGTGCGATTCATCACATAGACATGAAAGTAGAATATTCATTAAATTCGAATGCACATACGGAATTCGACATTGGATTTTATACTTCTCATTGTCCCCAAACAGCATCTGAATGCATTCTAGTGTTATAGATTGTGGCTAATAAAGTTAATGTCTTCGTTATTATATTCTTTCATAAGGACATCGTCTTAACGCAGACACAGAGTGTCGGATCGGGAAATTCGCAGTTAATTTTGCAGATCATTGGTTCATGGTTGACTTGCATTTTCACGATGAAAGCATTCAAATGAATAGGACACCATGCAGGACATGCTAAAATATGTTCCTTTGAGTAGTGGCTTCGTTATACATATACCAATATAATTATACGAATTCTTACATACAAGATCTGACACTTCTTACAGATTTTAGTACGTATTGTTTTTCAAAGTTAAAGACCCTGTGATATGATAAATGGAAGTATGTATTATACGTAAAATATGGAATAAAGCTATCATGAACTGAATTATGTTCATAATAGTAGATGAATTTAATTTCAAACCATTTATACGATCATGCAATTTGTGTCCGTTTGTTCATTATAAATTATAATGCAATCGTGTTCGCATATATGAACTGACACGAGATTTCTCCTGAGGCTGTTGGCGAAGATGGACCAATCATAATAACCGGGAACCAAAAAACGTGTAAACTACAATGAGATCTCTGACAAGAAGATTTACTGAAGATCGGTTAAATCCTGCAACCGGTTTATCGGACAGGACAGAGACTCAATTACGGATAAGGAATTCCTCCTAATTAAGAGGAACCTAAAGTTCATTCGCAAGTTTTTCACTAACTATCCGAATATTATTACGAGTGACTTAATTGATACAATTCCAACATCACGTGCGAAGTTCACCACGGTAGCCCCTCCAAAATAGGAGAAAACTGTGAGTGGCTACCTTTCAGGGATTTTAGGAGTGTTAGAATAGTAGTTCCCCTTTACGAAAGAAACAATCAACCATTTACACATCTTCGGTAATATACATTTTTTTGAATATGAGGAAATATTTGTTATCCTTTTTAAAAGTTTGACCTTTCTCTTTTCGGGTATAAAAATATGTGTAAAATAGTGCCTTACATATTGGATATTGGTCAACTCCAATTTAGTCCTTAAATAATATAAATACATATTTCAAGGACAATCGAACAACAAATTCAACTCGTAATAAATACATATGTTGAGTAGACGGCTAACACACAGTGCGTCCTGTCATCCTCAACATTTTAAACTGAAGACAAATAGAAGCAATCTCATCAACATTTCCTTCTGGGACAATAATAAATTACTACAGTAATGGATATATTTAGAAAGAAAAGGATATCTACTTGTGCAAAGGTCGAACTTTGTATAGCGGCATTCAAATGAACCGCCGGCTACTTCAAGGATTACAATTTGTTCACTCACACATGCATATGTGGAGAATCAATGTCAATATTCTAAGAATTGGTCAAGGATAGAACTACTTAAAATTTTTCCAAAAACAAAATGAAGAAAAAACAGCAGCAACAACTAATGTCGACCCAAAAACACAACAACATTATTAATATAAACTTGCTTGTTTGATTAGTATAAACTAACGAAGAGAACAAACATCATGTGTTGGAGTTGTAAGAAGAAACCTTCTTCTAGGGCAAAATGAAACACAAGCCGAATGCAAAAACTACAAACAAGAAACGTAATGTTTACATAACCTAATGTGTACTTTGGTCGATCATTTACTACAGCAGCTACCTATTAGGTTCAACAAATATATTTTCAACACAAATTATGAAGAAAAATATTATCATTGCGGTAATATATTTTAGAGTTGAAAAGAGAAATCTTGGAATTTTTAGGTATTTTCAGATGATTTTAATGTTAATTTTGATTAAAATATTTACTAAGTTCATGAAAATTTGGTCTAAGGAGAGGAGTATGATTTTTAAACACCGGGTTTAATATTCAAATAAAAATAAAATGTAGCGAACATAGTATGTATTGAATGAGAGGATTTCTTCTTCAGAATGCTTATTATAGAGTGAAGAACAGAAATATGTAAGGAGTGTTATGTTCAGATTTTCATAGTAAATAAATACAAAAAATCTTTACAAAAATCATATGGATTCTTAAATTTGCAATTTATATGTTGCTGTCTGATAAAAAACTTGTTTTTCTTCGCCTAAAGACGGACTACTTTTTGCCGCATTGTTTATGCAACCATATATAGTAGTACCTACTCTTGAAGAACACATATATACGAATGCACTCAAGCAACATGAGATTCTGTGTTGTTGTTGGCGTTTAGTTATTTGTGGAATGCTGTTTTGTAAGGACAATGAATGAATGGATGTATCGGGTTTTTAGCGTACATAGTATAGCGTAGTGTGTATCTGTGTTTATATATTTTTGCCACCATCCTTGTCTGGCATATTTGCCGCTTTGTGTTGTATCTCTTTTTAAATGGTTTGTCTCAATTGCTTCTAACTCTCCGTCTTTGAATTGTATGGTGGGAAAAATATAAGGAGAGCAAAAATACAAGAACAAACAGTATTGAAAATAGTGGTCTCTTGGATTTTGCTTTTGTTCCTGGTGATCTTTTTTTTTTTGGGTTTCCTCTTTACTGTTGTTTTTATCTTATTGTTGAGATTGATTTTTCTTTGCAACTAATTATACGTTTGTTAGTATAAGCCAATACAAATTAAATAGGAAAAACGATTTTTGGAAATTTTCTTTAAAAAGAAACTACAAAAGTATTAATTTCAAAGAGTATTGTTATTTTAGGTGTTAGTGTTTGTGGTTCTTAGGTAAACAAATCCTTTTTATTATTTTGGAAAATATGTTAGTATCAAAATTAAATAGACAGAAAGGACAGAAAACTACTTTAATTGAAAAGTCAATGGTATTTTATATACCACCAAACCTACAGTTTGGTTTGGACCATAACATGGTGGTTAAGCAAATTTCCCATTCGCAACTAAGAATTCACAATGATTTTAATTTGTATTCCTTTTGGACATTTTATTTTTTGAAATTATAAATGAATTGCATTTCCTTTGCTTTTAAGTGTCCCTTTTACCTTTCTTGCTATTTAATTACTCTACATAAATACTACACACAATGTTTTCGAAAAGGAACAGGAAATTATTGTGTATAACCCTAGAGGTGTTAAAACATAAAATGACATTAACCCACAACATTAATAACCACATGTCACTGGTATGACACAAATACATCAACATGCTACATTTTAAAGGATAACCTGAAGAAAAACAACCTATGGATGTAATTAAACAACTATTTGTAATAAATGACATTTGTTAAGAATTTTCCCAATATATTCAATATTGATTTCTTGCAAGTTCTTTGTTTTTTTATTTACTAAGTGGCATCATCAATTGAATACATAACAGCTGCTACTGCGGGTCTTATATTCACCTGCCCACAGCAACAAACGTTTCATTACTATTATGTAGCATGCTGCTGCCGCTGTATGCCTGCATTTATACGTTAATATCATTGTAAATGTGGCTAAAAAAGCAACACATGCACATTGTCCGACTATGAGGCATATAGTCCTGTTGTATTGTGCATAACAGGTGGATTATCGTCATTAGAAATAAGTTTTCATTTCCTTATGGCGTCAATGCATGCAGGCTGTCTTCTAAGGTGGTTAGAAAAAACAACAAGTGTTTATGTTTTAACATTTTTTTTGTTGTAATTTTAGCTAATTAGTGAAGAAGTCCAGTACAGTGACACATAGAGCGATAGAACGGAAATAGTTTTAACGTCTTTTCTGACATTTGTGAAATTATGGGATAAACAAAGTCTGTGTGAATCCCGCATTTGTTTTCGAAACATCAAATCGTTGTTAAAAATAGCCAAACTATTCACATGTTAATGTTAAACACTTGTAAAAAAATATGTATGTGTGTAAAAAATAACACTGAGTGTGCGACATATGTTACACTTGTGTGTGCGATTCCTGTAATCCTTTTAAAATATCAAACATTTTTTTAACTTTATATGTATTTTAAAATCTTTAAAACTTTGTTTAATTTGTATTTTTTCTTCTATTTTTTCAGTAAAACTCAAAGATACAAATAAAATATATTTTTCGGTAAAAGAAGATATACAAAAAACATTACCAAAATTTCAACAACGGCTGTTTTAGGCCGTCTCATTATGGATTTCTATAAAAGGTAAGCATTAAATAAATTGCTATTAAATTTTATTTATATCGGTCTTTAGTATTTTCAGATTTTTTACTTCAAAAACCAAATTTGGACAAAATGAATTTATGCTAGGAGATTTTCAAATGTAAATGTCCCACACTATTTTAGTGTTCTGTTATGTTTGATTGTGTATACTTTAATTATGGATTTAAACTGATCTTCCTTATGTCCAGAAGTTTGATGGAAATATACAAATCACGTTTTCAAGCATTCTGAAATATTCGTTGTTTGTCAGTTACATACCGAATTTAATGAATTTGATTTGAAAGTGTTTCAAATAATATAAGTATTAGCTTTGTATTTAAAAACCGTTCAACAATGGTCTTTGGTGTATAGGTTAAAAGGTATCATCAGCCAATACCGATTAGATATTACTTCTTAAATACAATCAACAACAAAACTGCTTCTTTTACATTTCCATAGCATATTGGATTTTCCGGGATATTTTCTAAAAATTTTATATGAAGTTGTACTTTCACAGCGTTTAAGAATTAAAATTTAATTGCAATAGGTGACCGATTACCGTCTTAAGATTAGTAGTTTTAAACAAACAAAATCCCATGGGAATAACTACATATTCTCAGATTATATGTGAATGTTTTTATTCTTTACTTTTTTACCGACCTATACAGGATGTTTCTTTTGTCATTAGCACCCAGCTTTATGATGATTATCTATTTTTTGGGGGGTTTCTTATAATTACCAATGACTATGCTTGGCTAAATTCCTCTACTTCTACTAGTAGTCATCAGATAATCTATATTGTTTCCGTCTTTACCAACAATGGCTAAGCATTGTTTGCACCCCGAATGTGGTTGACAAAATTGACAGGAAAATATCCTGCCTGCCTTATTGTTGTCCCTTACGTGTGTAGGAATGTAAGTACAACCTAGCCACGTAGTAAATGTTGTTTGGTTCTCACAACATATGTTTCATTACCACCTATAATGTTATTTTGCAAACCAAAAAATAACGATTTTTCTTCAAATTCGAAATTTGTGTAATATTTTGTTTTGGAAAAACAACGTCTACACATAACAACAACATTGCTTTATGGTTAGTTAATTATTGTATAGGGCAAATGAATGAATGTACATGAAAAATGACAAATTCCAATAGATTTGGTGATTGTAATCATTTGCTGTGTAACCTAACATACATACCTTTACACACATCATATTTTTTCACATGGTGTTCATTTTTGCTTCATCAATTTAATATAATTGCCAGTGAAGTGCCTGGTTATGCCCAGTACCTATTTATTCACCCCCTACTTTTGCAATTCATTATATTTGTAAGTTTAAAGTGTCAGTCATTTGTCCACCTCACTTGTGGGCTGTTGGTTTTGTCCTTTCGATTATTTCGTCAGCAAAAGGATGAACTGCTGTCACATGTGACAGCTAGGCATGCGCTGTGACAATCCTGTTGAAAGTGGACACATGCATGCATATTATTAACCAACCAATTTGGTAATGTTTTTTTGCCAATGTCATCAAAATATAACGTTGATATTGCATTTATGCATTATCATTGTAATTATGGTTATCAAACTAATTGAAGTTAATATCAAGGGTAAACACCCTTTTTCGCTGGCATGCTGTTTGTTGGCGTATGTCGTCCTACTAGATAACCACTGGTAGTTACCCAATTTATTTAACTTTCTGTTAAAAAAAAACATTGTTATTGTTAAAGGTAGTTAATGGCAAGTCCACAATTTTAGAACAATCAAATGAAGAGGTCATTTTTTATTTTTCGAATATCCTTTTTTAAATATTTGAATTGTAATGTTCCCATATCCGTTCTCATTGACATCAACGTCGATTGTCAATGGTTAGATGACATTGCATCTTAGTGACTTGATCAGTATTATAACAAAATACGGAGATAATAAATCATTGACTACTTTTATTGTTGTGATTTTATATATGGGAATCGGTATTTTCAAAACAATATAGATTTAGATATTTACAATGGAAATGTGTTCTTCTTTCATAGATGATTTGTATACATTGACAAATATGTTTCAGTTACTTAATATATGTATAATGCATTCAACTTTTTTTCTGGAGGGTACGTTTTAGAATTTAATAAATCTTTGAATATAATATATTTTTTTAAAATATATTTCTATCTGCAATTAAAAAAACTAACATTTATATTATTAAAATAGTTGTGAAATTTCATAGAATGTATTGTATTGCATCCGCAATTTTTAAGAGACACTTTATGGTCCACATAATCATTATAATGCAAAAGCATAGATGCCTTATGAAAGAATATCCATTCATTTAAAAAATTCTTTCTTAGAACTAAGGACATGAATTACAAATACCAATTATACATTTACATTAAAAAAACGCCTTGATCTTTTTTACACCTGCCTATTGTTTTCCTCTCTCGGCCAAGAACTTAAATTCTGCCAGAATTCGTTTTTTGTTGTTTCTAAGAGATGCAATGACCAAAGGTTATATTTTTTGGGCGGAATATACGATGAAGAATAATTAAAAGAATTTTGCCGCAACCAAAACACACACACGTCAGTAGCTGTATTGTGTAGTGTGAATAAAATGTTCTTAAAGGACTAAATCATCCTTTAATCTATTGATTTCATATTTACTTTGTGTAATATTTAATAAATAACCATTGATTGCATTTCCGAGAATTTCTGTTGTTTTGGCTACCACAAAAAATGTGGGAAATAGGAAAAATACTTTCTTTTTATTTTTTTTGCTGGGAACCAAATTATTGCCTTTTTTAAAAAAGGCACCCAACTAATAAATTCTATCTATAGTTGTTGTTACGAAATCTTTATATGTGGCCTGCATTATTGTGTGTGTACAAAGAACAAAAACCTACCTCCTGTGGGACGTTTTCATATTTGTTGTTGTTTTAATAGTTTCTTAAAATATTTTTGGGATAAAAAAGGAAAATATTTTATATTTTTCCTTGAAGATTCCGCTTATGGTTTGTCACACTTTAACACAAAAATTAGTATTTTTGGTTAGCACATTTTATCCACAAAAATAATCATTTTGTTTTTGGTTTTGTTTTTCTCACATGAACAAACATATTTAGCAAATAAGGGTTGCAATTAAAAAAAGAAAACTATGCAGTCAATAACCCTTTAAAATTTGTTCTTTAACATGGGATTATGTGATTTTTTCCATTATTACTCCCTTTTGCCTAAATATCCCAAGTAAAGGATTCTTGATTTATAAGGTGTTTTATTAATACATCCCTTTAAGAAATCCTGCAAGGGTATTCCTACTTTTTTTGTAATTGCAGCCGGCCTTCTTTCAACGGCTTTTTAATATTTCAAAATACATTTGGTACGAGTTAAAGGGTTTCGCATTTCTTTATTTTTTATTGTCAATACGTATGTACCTAGGGATGCTCAGCCCGGGGCATTGTTTTTTGTATTCACACCCTTCACGCATTGAACATCTTTGCAATTTTGCAAAATACAAATCTTGATAAAGGTAAAAAACAACTTAAAGGAATTCGTTACAGCATTTAATTATATATCTTCAGCACAAAGGATTTATGCACAATTTCAAGTATTGTTTATATGTAAATAGTGAAATGTAAATTTCTTTGCCAATTCTTAATAGATAGAATTACTTAATTGTTTAAACCTCAATTCGTAGAGGAGGGAAAATTGATTTTCACATGGTACTTTCACATCCGGGAATATGGGAAATAATTGAGGATCTGTGCATGTGTTTCCTACAACGCCTTGCGTTCTTTGTATCGTGCAGAGGGAGTGAGCTATAAAAATGCATTTGGTTAATTCATAAATGTAGCATTTTCTCAAGGGCTCACCCGACCCCTATATATGTACAACTAATGTATCAATTTTCCATTTCTTTTTGGCAATTGCAAGCAGTTATTGTATAGAATATAAAAACTATTTGGAAATTCATATTTTATTCAATTCTATTATTTTTTTTTTTTGCCTTCTTTTCAGTCGCAGTAGCAACAGTACCAGCAGCCAACATAGCAACAGCAGCAGTCACAAATCTCATGCTTCATCAAGCAATAACGGTGGCTCCTACAATTTAGAATACTGTACATCTTCATCGTCGCTGTCACCTTTTGCCACAAATACATCATCTATTGGTGTGGCCTCATGTCCATCATCGTCAGCCAAAACAATTGTTAATGTGGGCATTGAGGATGTGATCCTTTCGATTACAAACAGCAATAGCAAAAGTAACAGTTCAACATCACATATCTCAGCCTCATCGTCTTGTTCGCCAAGAAGTTTGATAACGGTCACAAAACTAGCATCATCCTCAAATAATATGTGTTCTAGTCATAATACAGGAAAGCGAAAGCGTCGCTCGTCCACAAGTCTAGACGATCGGGTAAGTGACATTTATAAATGACATTTGGTTGATTTTTTTTAAAATGGTATGTGTGTGAATTTTTCCTTAGCTTTTCTCAATCCCTTTACAAACAATGAAAATGCAAAGGTGGTATCCCAAGAAAATGTATAATCATCCACCATAAGGAAGCTGCAATCTTAAAAGAAAATTTATTATGAAATATAGTCGAAATGAAAGACATAACAAAAACTTGAATGTACAGTTAAGTTTTCTTCCCTAGAAGAGGGGAAGGAAGGATGTTCCTTCGCTGTGTCATCTGTCAAATGAATATGCAAAAAAAGTTCATTAGCATAAATTCATATCCCACAACAGGCAGGCAGAAACATATGCCCCTTTCCAGGACAAACAAATACGTTACTTTTTTCTTGCCATCTTCATATATTCTTTTACGCTTCCTTAGTCCTTAAAACAACAACACTAGTTTAAGAATAGAAGACGAACATGCAATTTAAAAAACAAGAAATTGAACAAATGTCGTTACGATGAATATATAATTAGATAATGTTTAACAAACTTGAATAGTCAACAGAGCAAAACTACTGTTGCTACCATGATCATTATATTTGTCCCAGTAAGGGACATTTGTTAGGAAACTATTGCAACCACTTTGTAATGATGTCTATTGTGGATAGCGGTTTTAGCTATTTCCTTATGCCAGTCCTTAACTTAAACCGAGATCATAACACGCAAGATAACACCATATTATTAAAATAATCGTCTTCCTATTTTCTTCTTAACCTATTATAGACAAAATGTGTCACTTTTTTCTTTCTTTTTATTGCCACCTTCTTTCCAATACCACATGTAGCATTTATTTATGACACTGTTATCATTAGTGGCACGTTCGTTAAATTTACATAAATGTTGGCGATCGTCATTCCCATTTGTCGTCCTTCTTCCTTTCTTTCTTCGGCACAACAAAGCCAAGTTAATACATAAATTGTTCTACATAAAAATAACCTAATTGTTTTCTATTTTTCCCCTAAAAAACCCTGCCATAAAATATCCTTGTGATAAACTTTTTATAACGTCTGTCGTTTATTTTTTCGTTTTCTTTCCTCAGTTTCACTTTCTTATTATTTGCTTATGTACAAAATATAACGTCTGTTAAGACGAGAAAAAATGTAAAATGTCAATATACGAAAAAAATTTTACCAACCCTCTCTTGCATATTGTTGTGTTTGCTTTGGCTGTGTCAAGGTGTTCAGGCATGCGTAACTATTTTCCTTATATTTTGTACCCCTGTTGTAGATGTTGCCTTTTTTATATAGCCTATGTATGTATATCCAAAGGTATGTGCGTCCTTCTTGAGGGAATTGCATCACACAAAAAATACAAAAACAAACCTCATACACATGCTGCCCTTAGGTCTCCTGCGGTAGTTGTGTTTCGAATGTTTAGATTTCCTGGTTTTGTCTAGTTAGGATGGCTGGGTGGTTTGTGGCACCCCATTGCTTTAAGAAGTGTTAGTTTGTACGAATACCTCATGACATTTATTGTTGGCATGTTCAGTGCAATATTTATGCATGGGCATGCAAAATAAACTCACACACAAACATTTACTACTAAATTCCAGGACATGAATATACTAAGAATTTTGATTTTGAAACAAATACAAAGGACAAACAGAATAAACAAATAATTTGATTGATTGACAAGAGATGTGTTTTATTTTACAAAGACTGACGATATCACCAAGTTCATTTGGTTTTCAGTTAATTTTTTTGGAATCGATTAGAATTTCAAGATCTACATAATAGCACAAATAGTTTTTGGCCGTTTGCCATAACCTTTTTTTGGAAGGCTGAATAACTTTTTAATCTTGATCCATGCAAACACAGTCTGCAAGACAAATTTCCTTTTTTACATTTCTTCTCTTTTTCTATTTTATTTATGATAAAAACAAAGAAAATTTTACACGAAATAATATCCTTGCGTTCCATAATAGTTACATATTTAGTTTTCCTTGGCAATTATTTTGGGTTGTTCGATTTCTCTTTCTTAATTTCCAAGCTATAATTTTCGTATCCTCCAACTATAATCTTGAACGATCCATCAAAGTATTAATAATTTGACAAAGTTAAATCCTTCAAACAAAAAAAAAAAAAAAAATAGGAAACAACAACCACAAAAAGCCTTCGGGACATTAGACGGCAGTTGCAATATAAATTGAATGAAATTTGAAAATAAATAAGAAGCAGTTGTAATAAAAAGAAGCATGCGCTCAAAGGTAAGCATTTTATTTACACCTGGACTTCTCCAAGAAACTATAACAAAAGAATTTATACTAATGCTAGCTGTGTGCTGCTGCCGTTATATTGTTTATTGTGTACTGGCATTTCGAAAATTCTGACGACAAAACTCAGTGCCAACCAAACAAGAGTAACGATGAACCAAACAACCAACCTACCACCACAATGGATGGATGTGCGCTATGCTGTGTTGTTTTGTTGTGTAGTAATCAAAATTGAAAGGTGTCCTGACTTGTGACGCTTATGCAAGACCGTCCTACATATACTCTTACACACAGTCTATACTACATAGTATAGAAAAAAATCTTGTCACATTAGGAAATTGCATTGTGCTATCTATCTATGGGACGAAAAACAATGATCCCAAAAACAATCTTAAGGATTGTGCGATATATATTTTTGATTTGGGTTCTTCTGTAGAGGGCAGGCGCTTCCCTTTTGCTCTAAAGAAGCATAGACCAACAACAACAACATTGTGTGTGTGTCTGCTATTCGACAGTATTGGAATGTTCTGTATGCCCCTTACTGGTGTTTCTTCTTTTCGGCCTATCTTTTTTGTAACTGTTATTAGTTTTTCTTTTCTTTCTTTGTAAAATATCGATCATCTGCTTCTTTTCCTTTGTGTTGTTACATGGCTTTATAATGAATTTTTATTGACAAACAAAATGATAAGAATAATGAAGTTATTGCTAAAGGTGGTCAAACGATCGCTCAATTGGTCCTACCTCACACATTGTGCATATGTATACATATAATTTTGTTACATTTAGTTATATAGTTAGTTTTTAGTTCAAGATACTTAAATTAGTTCAGCTCTTCCTAATATTCTTAATTGTTACATTAAACATATGCTGCTGTCTTTGAAATTTATTCCTAGACAGTATATGAAATTGTCTTGCCCTCTTTGCTGTTAATTGGGTGTTAAATATAGATTTTGTATTTCATAAGTCACAGTCTAATAGTTCTAAGTGTTTTTAGAAAGACCAATGCCATATTTAGATTTAATAAGGATATGGCTTGCAAAAACCCTTGAAACGGATGTTTAGTACATCCATACATATGTTTAAGGACATGTGCTAGTTTTAGTTAGTCAAAGGAAATTTTAAATACATTTTTGAAAACCCTAAGAAACATAATAATTGGAAAATATAAAATGTGCAATATGTTACTCTACAAAATAAATAAAATTCCCTACTATCGAGAATTGAAACGACATTCTAAAAGAATTGAGAGAAAATTAAATTGTTGTTAAATATGTTTTTTTATAAAAATATACATTTGTTTACAGGCCAATACCCATATGCACTATCCTGTGTTCTGTTCTTCATTTTTTATAAATAGCATAAAGTCATAAAATATCACACAATTTCCGCATCCATGCATAATATGACCATAAAAATAAGATAATTTTTGATTAATGATTTTTCTTCATCAATTTCACAAGACTATTGCGCCATAGTCCAGAAAAAAATTTGACCGTTGGTCAAAAAGTTCAGCTGTTCGTTTATTTAAAGAAAATTGTCTCTTGAACTTTTCATAGCTCTAATCAAGAAAATAAACCTGGCTATAGTGATTTATAGCTTTTTTCCTATTTCACATCGCCAAAATCCTGCCTTCTTGTTACACATTCTATTTGCCAAGGACATCTGCCGTGTGTCATTTATATTGTTTTATGTTTAATTAAATAATTTACTAGAAAAATCAAATGGATACTTTATCATTTTTACGACTTTTTAATTTTAATGAACTGTGACATTTTTTTCCGAAAAAAAGGCGGTAGGATTTTTTGCCAATAAAAGAAACAAAGAATCAACCATAAGACAAGCATCATATGGTTGCATTTCTCTTTCCATCTTTGCCATAAATTTGTAACGCTTTCTTTAAGGATACGACAACGACAACGATATGGTCATTCGCCAATCAACATTAAATTGTATAATTTGTTGAAATCTAGATATGTCAAGAAAAAGAGGGATGGAAAGATGCGGATTTTTATTAAACACACAGGGGGAGTAGAATAATGGGTTTGTGCTTGATAATATTTTGTTTATTTTGTTGATGAATTTAGGGAAAAAAGAGAAAAATATGTTGTGAAGTTTTCTGCTGAAAAATCCACGATTTGCTTTTAAAAGATTTATTTTAGTTGATTCGGTGATGATTTTCCTAGTTGACCTTGCAGCATTCGCGGTATAAAATCCCACTACTAGCTTAGGTAGGGCAAAAAACTGGCAGAGATTTATGTTTATACCCAATTGTTGTTGCTAATGTCCTTTATTGTCTCTCTGTACCTGGGAAATTGTGACACACAAACATCTTCTTGTTGCTGCTGTGTTGCCCAAAGGATAATTGATATTTTCTCTTATTCTTCTAAGGCTTTTAAGAACCTTTTTACTGTCTGTCCATCCTTGATCCTTTGGGTTTTCTGTCTGTCCGTCCGTCTGTCTGTATGTTTGTCTATCTGCCTTCATGTGCGAGTAAATGCATATGCATGTGTTTTTGCATTTTGTTTTTGTTGTGTGAATTAAACGAAAACGGATCTTAAGGATTGTGTTGTTTCTTCCTTTACTATTATGTTTCACGCTGTCTTTCTTCTCAGGGGTGAATTTTTCTTCTTCTTCTACTTCATAAGAAAACACAAACACACAATGCAAGATCCTTTTAATCAACCACCTATGATCATTGACAAACAGCACAGTAGTAGTAGCCAAAGAAGTAAGGCAAAAACTACCCTCTTATATTCGTTACTTTTTGAGGACGTGTACGAGTTCGTTGATAGTTTGAGCTCAGTTCCACTGGGAAAGTGAATGCGTCAACACACGCACGCAAACGCATTTCAACAAAATAATTTGAAAATAGTAACAAATTAGAAACTAAAGATCTCAGAGGAAAATTCCTTAACAAAGTGTTGTGAAAAACATTAAAACCAAAGTTAAAAAAAAATTAACAAAATCCAAAAAAAACAACGATATACCAAAGTTAAATATTTGTTTAACCAAAGACTTGTCTAATGTTTAAAAAGTGCAATATTTAAACAAATTCAAAAGAAAAAACAAAAAGAATCCTCTCACTACTCTCTTAATTGAACGCGATCGCATTTACTTCCACGTGAGAAATATATTTCCCAGAAAAATATTCGAACGAAAACAGGAAAAACCGGAAAATCATACACTATTACAATCGATATAGGAGAAAAAGTGTTTAATTGTTTTTCTGTTGTGTCTGTGCTGCCATTATTGTTACAATCCTCTTTAAACCACCCGTACTCAAACATTGTATGCTATTATGAAGTGTGAGCGCAAGAGAAAAGTCATCGAAATGGTAAAGAATTATTCCTTGTTTTTCATTTATTCTCTCCCTCACTTGAATATGTATCTATCATCTAAAGATTAGACTCCATTTTAAATGAAAAAAGGAAACTTGTTGTCTATATGCCGGTGCGATTGTGCAATGAATAATAATTACAGAATATTATTGTACAAGGACTGGGGAAATGGAAAAACGTTTTTTTTCTAGTACTTGAAAATAATTTTAAGATGTTCTTGGGAATTATTTTATTGTACGATATATTTTTGTTACGTTAATAATATACCGTACAATATTAAAAACTATATTTAATGAAAAAATGAATAAGAACCGTAATATACATTATATAATAATAAATTCACACACATACATACATATTTTATTTATATACAATATAAAAATAACCAATTCTTTGTCTTATTTTTTTCAACAGGATCCTGAATTGGGTTTCGAACCTGCTGCCAAACGTCAACAAAGACTACCATCCTTATATCAAAGTGATGCTGGTTCGGTGGTTTCGTCTGTATATCCATCACCCGTCGATGAGACATTGGTTAATGAAATTGATACACGTAGCTCTTCGGAATGTCTCTCAACGGCCACCGATTTTGAGGTTACACATGATGATATACCCGATAGCCCCAATAGTTTACGACATGAAATAGAGGAGGAGGAAGACGATTTACCACACGATGACGATGAAGACGACGTTGATGAGGAGGATGAAATTGATGATGATGATCACATTACAGACGATGATGATGTTGATGATATCATCTCACCAAACACATCACCTTCTAACTGTTCAACTGCCTCAACAAAAGCTACACAAATTTACAACCCATCGATCACGGATGCGGTCCATCATGGTGAACGTACACCAGGACAAAGATTGTCTACCTCAAAGCCACAGCCAACATCAACCACACAGCAACCAAAAGTTAAATCATTCGATGATTATCTCTCAGCCCACTATGATTGTATGACACCTGCAGCAGATCCTGAACCACCACGACAATGTCCATTGCCGGCTCTGTCCTGGGCCAATGCCCAAGATGTTTGGCAGCTAATGTGTAAAAAGGATGAGCAAGCTTCATGCTTACGAAACTCATCAATGCTGGATCATCATCCTGGGTTGCAGCCACGCATGAGGGCTATTCTCCTCGACTGGTTGATTGAAGTTTGCGAAGTATATAAACTACATCGTGAGACATACTATTTGGCTGTTGATTATCTAGATCGTTATTTGAGTGCTCAGAAAAATGTCCAGAAAACCCACCTGCAATTGATTGGCATCACTTGTCTATTTGTGGCGGCTAAAGTCGAAGAAATTTATCCACCAAAAATTGGTGAATTTGCCTATGTCACCGACGGTGCTTGCCAGGAATCTGACATTTTGCAACATGAGATTTTGTTGTTGCAAGCTTTAGAATGGAATATTAGCCCTGTAACCGCCATTGGTTGGTTGGGCGTCTATATGCAATTGAATGTTAATAATCGTACACCTGCCTCGTTCCAAGCCTCTCAGAGAAAATTAAACAAACAACGTATACCTCCTGCCGCCTCACATAATATCGATGCCGTCAATAGATTAGCAACAAAAACTGGCGAAGTCGATGATGCATTTATATATCCACAATTTTCGGGTATGGAATTTGTACAAACTGCCCAACTATTGGATCTGTGTTCACTGGATGTCGGTGTGGGTAATTTCCCATATTCAGTGATTGCAGCCGCAGCTATATCACATACATTTAATAGGTATGTATTGTACACAAAGCGGTGAATGAATTCACTCTTTGCAATATGTTTTACATTCAGTTCCTAACGTATTATTTTACTTTTTGATATTTTCAGAGAAACTGCCGTACGTTGTTCTGGTATGGAATGGAAAACAATACAACCATGTGCAAGATGGATGCAACCATTCTTTGAAGTTATCTCCGAAGAATCCCATAACTTACACCTATTGGAACAAAATGAACAAATCTCAACTAAATTCGGTCTAGGACATATTTGTCCAAATATTGTCACAGATGAATCGCACATTATTCAAACTCACACAACAACAATGACAATGTTTGTAAGTATTACAAATAATTATACTCAACTTTGTAAACATTTTAAAGTGGGCAATCGACATTTTACTTATATTTTGTTGTTATTTTCTTTTTTCTTATAGGATCGCGCTTGCCTACTTCAAGAACAATACTTGGCCATGGCCAGTAAAATTAAACAGGAAGCTTCTCCCGCCACTGGTCTCATGTACCCTGATGGTTTACTAACACCACCAGCATCTAGTCGGAAACCTTTAGATTGCATTGATGAGGATGAACCAAATCATCATGTTCACAATGTCATCACAAATGAAAGTCGGGAAACAAACAAATGAGCAACGAGAGAAAGGTAAACTTGGTTGACAAGGGAGAAAACCATGGCCAATAAAAAATTTAAGACTTTACGTAGTAAATGGATGTTATTTAAAACTGTCCAAAATTACACACAACCACAAATAACCTGCCTTTTAAAAGCAAGCCCGCAAAACCATCAACAAAAACATATGTTAAGTAATTCTAATTTATTAATAACTTATTCAATAATTCTTTACAAACACACACAAACAAACCCCCGCAAAGAAACACAAAACACACAAAGTAATTAATTGTTTTTTAATAGTTAAGTTTAGTTTAATTTGTAGCATAGAGTTTAAATATTAATATAAATGTAAAAAAGTTTATTATATTATATAAAACATATCGGTAAAACAAAACCACCTTATAATTCTCTAAAACACATACCTCTATTCCACAATAATACATTAATCCATAAGACTGTAGCGTTTGTAACTTAATCGTTATTACTCTCCATCCCATGTTCATACATTAACACAATTCCTTCATTGTCAATTTTTTCATTATGCTTTGTTTTTTTCTGTTTCTCACAACAGCAACTGCAAGGCGGAAAAAATTGCGCTGCTTTCTAAAGAAAAGAAAAGTGTATAAGTCAATTTTTCACAATATTACTATTCAGTGGTTCAATTATTCATTTTTTGTTTAAAAAACAAATGATATTAAATGGCCAGTCTGTATTCATTAACAATTAAAGTTTAAATTGTGTTTTTATTTAATTTTTCTTTTCATTTTCAATTGAATTTAAAATGCAGCTTACAGTTCATCTTAATATGTTTTTGTTTTTTTTTTTTTTTATTGCTTAATTTTGTTAATTTCTTGAGCCACTGAATTGACTTTTTATTTCATATAAAAACACTATACCACACAAATAGGGTCCCTTTGTACATATAATAAAAAAGTGGGAAACTAAATAATTTTCTTTGGGCCCTTGGTTAAAAGAAAACACAATTTATACTATATTTAAGCTTCTTTCGACAATATACAAAAAGTCTTGTGCCAACAAATTTTGAGTTATAATTTTCATCATTATGAAATTGAATTATTTTTAGTTGAATTTTATTTTATTTTTTTCAGTTTTTTTTCATTAAGAATTTTAACTCTACTAACAAATCACATAATTTTATCATTATATATTCAGGTTAGGTTCTTGAAAACTAAAACACTAACATTAGCCAAATAAGTTGAGGGCAGAGTGTGAACATCAAGAACACTAAAACACTAACTTTTCACATCATTTATATATATTTTTTAGTTTATTGTGTTTTATTTTAAAATTTTTATTTTCTCAAATTAACCATTACTAACACAAAGAAGTAGCATTTCATTTGACAACTAGTCCGGATAAAACAAAAAAATTCCTAACGATTTGGAGAACAAATCAGACCACACACAAAACAATAACATTCCTCCATTATTGTTTCTCCAATGATCTCAAAGATTTTCTGGACTTTTGTATCTTAAGTAAATGCTGCTTACTTTATTTTCATACATTTTGAATCATTTTTATTTATAATTTAAAGACACAAGACTAGATGATAATGCAGTTATAAACAAGAAGCCAGCCCCAGGCACAGAGTACTGTAAACAAACACTCATACACAAATATTGCAAATGACAAACTAACAAATACAAATTTATGAAGCGGCATTCATTCTACATATATAATAAGTTTAAGTTTATATTAATTTGCCATAATTTGCACAGCAAGTTGTTAGTCTTAATCTTATTAAATGAGTTTTGATTGAAATTTGAATAACATATGCCGCAAACATACCCAAACATGCCGCAGACACAAAAAATAATTAAAGAAATTGAAAAAAAAACATGTAATTGTTACTTTGAAAGAATTAAAAAATGTATACATAAAGGTCTCGAAAATATATATATTTTTCGTATTATAAAATAAACCTGTTTTAAGGTTAAAAAACAAATAAAAAAATTATTATTAAAAATAAATCAAACAAAAGAAAAGCCACTAAACATGAATTCTTTTTATTTCTATTTATTGCATGATATGATAGTGCATGCCTTATTTTAAGTTCTATTCATGAAATACATATATTGAAAAACGCTTTTAATGTTCAGGTTTAATGCAAGATTTTGTATATAATTATATTAATATTTTAATAATGTACATTTATCTAGTAATATATACCAATATATCATAATGTAAGTCCAAAAAAAAAACAAAAACTGAAACAAAAAAAAAAAATAATTTTTTAGTTTTAAGTTTAATCATGAGTTCAGTTAATAATGACTCCATATAAAAATGAGCATGATTATTGAATTTTTATTTTTTACATTTAGGTTCCTGGATTAATTTAATTTTATGGTTTAAGATTAGTCATAATATTTTAGCTATGAAATAAAAACAATATTTAATTTAATTTTTAATTTTATTTTAAGGTAATCAAAACATCTAAAAAAAACAAATACGCTTTTTGCATTCAAATGTATAATAAAAATGTATAAACATATATTAATAACAAATCAAAAAAAAATGCGTTTTATTCGATATTATAGTACGTTTACATTTAACCAGATTTCTTTAACCCAGTGGGTTTCAATTGTCAATTCCATTGCATAAAAAAAAGTTCTAATGTATATGCCGTTTTATATTTTTGTAGGCTTTTGTCTAATTAAAGATTTCCAGCTGATTAGACATTTGGGCAAGTCACATCGATATATGAAAAGTATTTTCATGTCATAATTAAACCAGTAAGGAAAGTACCAAGGTGTATTTAATAAGGTGTAAATGACAATCATATGGTTTCAAACTTTTTTCTTTTTTGTTTGTAAAGTAAATTGTCAAAAACATTTCAATTTCAAAAATGGTCTTTAAATTTAGGCTTTTTTAATAATAAAAATTTAAGAAAACTACATTCATAGAGGCGGGCGGAAAGGAAACCTAGGATTAAATCAGTTATAACCCCGTTCGCCGATTGGTCCACATATTTTATGTTATGTGTGGAAATCTGTCCATAAATCCCAGCTACTCATAAAATCGAGGAGATTATGTTAGCCTATATTGGAATCGGCTCCTTGGGACGAATTTTTAGGTTTTCGACTGTCAAAAAGGTGTAAACGTCGAAAAAGTCATATACCTGTATAAAATGTAATAAATGTAGTAAACGTCATTTATTTGAATATCATTACCATATATAGGCAATTTGTAGAATATATATCATTTTTATATATATCTGACTATTCCTTACTGGAACTGATAAACAATTCCAAACTTTTTGGAGAAGAAAATTTTGAAATTTGATATGGATTTGAGTAAAGCATACGTAATTTCATAATTGATTAATGAAAATAGCTATTTTGTCAAAAACTTAATGGTTTTGGGTAGGTTTCCGACGTTTCTGACGTATGTATTATACGTCGGAAATATAGGTCGTTTACGTCACTGTTTCTGACAGACCATCTCTGGTCACAATCCTCGCGAAGGTCAAATACGCCTATGGAAAGATTTTATACGGTCAACACAATTTCCATGATTTAGTCTTTGACCGGGGATTTATGTTCTTCAATTTTCTTTAAGAAGACAAGATTTGAAGGCACTCCACAGAAAAAATAGATTATAATTCAAAATATAAACAACATCACACGGAGCCATGGGCTGCATGTGGGAAACTTAAAATTAATCGCGACCAGGTCTTAAACTTTATTTTTTCACTAAACTAAAACCGCTAATAACCCAAGAATACACAAATTCATAAATTATTATTCAAAGAATAGTTCTTGACAAAAATAAATTAATAATTATTTTTGTCAAAAACTTATTGTCAGCATGACAATTTAATTTCTATAACAACAATGTTGTTTTTGTAAAATACACCTTGGAAAGTAGTAAAGTCGGACTGGGCCGACTATATGATACCCTTCACCACTTTGGGGATATTCTACGTATGTATCCTAACAGACGTCGCCTTTTCTAAGGAACATTGACATGAAATTGAACGGACTTAATTATGCGATCTTTATCTATAAGTAAACCGACTAACATCAATTCCAACACACGCCATTCTGCAACCTATTCTAAATTTTGTAAATAGATTTAAAGCAAACTTTACACACGCTATTTGGTATGCTTCACTGTTTAAAATGTATCAATCAGACACCCATTGATTATTTGGTGTACAGTCAACATGAATAGGTCGAAATTATATATAATAGCTATTTTGATGCACCATTTACCTTAAATCGGACGAAACTATATATGGGAGCTTTATCTAAATCTGAACCGATTTTCTCGAAACTTGGCGCACATCATTCTGGACCTAATTCAGTACTCAGTGCCAAATGGTATTATAGAAAAATTTCTTTTATTCGGGAAGTATATATAAATTCGAATCCTACATGGAGAAAATTGCCTTTATTGTTCATCAAATATATTTCCATTCAGAACGACTGCACCAATTTGACTCACATTTTCCGACGGTTGTTTTTAATTGCAGTGGAAAGAGTTTTTTTAATCGAAGAACATTTTGAATGTTGTGTTATTTACACCTTTTATAACTCAAGGACGTCTGTAACAATGATTTGATTGTGATCAAAACAGGAATAATAATTACGTCATCCATACTAAATTATCTCTTAAGATAAGAGTAGTTAGATCCAAACTTGACCTTCTCCTGAAAAATGTTTGGTGGAATAAGTTTGACAAATTGATAAACTGAAATACCACACATAGTGACATAATTTAATATTTAACAATAACAATATTTCTTAAAATATTGGGGTATCAGTAAATGAAGGTTTACCGTCGCGGGGAAAATATTATGCGTATTTTGTTATATCGGAAATTTGACATAAATTAAATGGTAAATGTTTCTGAAATATATTTTCATGAATTCCTTCATTTTTACCAAACCTAAATTTATGCAAATCTTATACGGCAAAACAACGTTTGCCGGGTCTGCTAGTTTTATATAAAAACATATACAAAGATAAAAATAATAAAATAGTTAATTAAATTTTTC